CTGCTGTCTGCCCCTCTGCTGCTGCTGCTGGGGCTGCCTCTGTGCCTGCTGACGGGGCTGCTGCTGCTGCGGTGGCTGCTGAGGCTGCTGAGGCTGCTGCGCCTTCTTCGGGCAGCGGTTCGCAAAGTGTCCGGCCTCGTGACAATAGTAGCACACATCTTGACCAAAGCGACACTCGCCTCGGTGAAGCCGTCCACATGTCGGGCACTGTGGAATCTGTTGTAGCCTCCGTCGGGCCATCTTATCTGCCTGGGCACCTTTATCCTTCCTCTTGTTGTTCTTGGGCGGTTGGGTAGATGGCAAAGCTGGCATCGGTGGAACCGAAGGTGACTAAGCAGGGACGGATGGATGAATCTGACCACGAACTGCCTCCCTCCTAAGGCTAGCATCCACCTCCTGAGCAATGGAGACTGCATGTGCATATGTCTGTGTCCCGTGGCCTACAATGTTATGACGGACTGCTGGGTAAAGCCCGTCAATGAAACGCTCCGCTCGCTGGGCCTCCGTGCGGACCAAATCAGGAACGAAAGCTGCAAGTCTCGTGAACTCTCTCTCGTACTCGTCGACAGTACGAGTACCCTGCTGGAGCGATAGAAACTGACGCTTCATCTCTGCTCGGTAGTATGTGGGATAGTACTTCTCACGGATTAACTCCTTGAGCATCTCCCACGTACATCCCACTTTCTCTCCGGGGTGCATGCTCCAGTAAGCGTTCCACCAGAGCCTGGCATCACCGGTGAACTGAAGTTGTGCGCACACCACGCGATATCTCTCAGGGCACTCCATGACCTCGAAGATAAACTCCATACCCTGAATCCACTCGTCCACTACGCGTGGATCTCCCTGCCCTGAGAACTTTTCGGCATGGTAGTCGCGGAACTGGGCGACCACTGTAGCCTGAGTAGGAACTGGATGATCGGGTTCCCTACGTGGCGGCATCTGAATATTGAAAAAGTTCAAAATTATTGAACGCATGAAAATATATTCTGACTGATTACTAAGGCACACAGATCTCTTGACGAGTTGCCAGAAATGGCCGATAATTACTAACATGAATCCTGAAGAACTATAGAGTCATAACGGAAGATTCTAAAGTCTAGAGTCATGCCTGAATATACTGATCTCTAAAGTCAAGTCTGAATGTGCTGAATTCTAGAGTTATATCCAAACCCTAAACTCTGAATCTGAATCGAGCATCTTAACTAAGTTTGATTACTGATTTCTGAGCATAGACAAAGTAATATGTTTATAACTGAAAAACTGAATCAACACTTACCTGGAGTCGGCGAGGCGTGAGCGTGACGATTCAGGTTTTTATGAAAATTTTTTACTGAAAAACTTTTCAGAGACGCAGAAACGTGCGCTCTGATACCAATCTGTAACACCCCGACTTACTACTATATCAGAGTGCGCCATTTTCGCAAATTTTCTGAATAAATAAAACACTTATTTTGCGAAAGCTGATTCGGGATGCTACCGTGAAAAACTTAATTTTTGAAAACCGTTAAAGTTTAAACTGATACATAAAACAAACGGTCATAACGTCTTATCCGACTAACGTCGGAGCAAAGTCTGATAAAAAGTACTTGAAAGTTTTAGCGGAAACAAAGCATGGCTACACATAAATACATTATTCATAAATGTCCTGAACAGCTCGCCCGCTCACTCCTCATCTCCGACCCTGCGACCTGAAAAACATGAAAGGTGTGGGGCGTGAGCACTAAAACACTTGTGCTCTGCAAAAACTCATACTAATGTAAACATTGAAAATAATAACAATATCATGAACTAAGCATATACAACTGAACTGAAACTGAAACTGATATCTGATAACCGGTCTGATCTCGCGACATAAGTCACGTAACTGATAATTGAAAACTGTCGGCACAAACTAATACCGCAATCTCCCAGCAAAACTAATACCGGACCATGTGCACACTCTAGTGGTTAGATTAGGCCACTAGAACTCAGAATGGACCGACGACCATTTCGAGCGGATACTGGTTATACATACCTCGACCATGGTAGCATAATTATAAACAATGT